TTTTTTGGTGCACTTCTCGTGTATGTCTGTTATGAGATGATTGGGTGGCATATACTTTCTCACAAATACTACATATAACTGGCATTTTCTGAATTCAAGTTTCTTTACAGGTAGATAAAAAAAGAAACCACAGTATAACTAAAGCAAGTTCTACCACATAACCTAATTTTTAAAGTATAGTCACAAACCACCTACTATAGTATAGTTTGTAAATTCCCGCGAAATACAAACTGGGTACACTTGGCAACGTTGGTACGGACTGAGCGGTTTAGCCTCTCGTCAAGCAATAGGGCCCGCTGTAGTTACATGATATTTTATTTAAACATTTGAATATTCATAACTCAAAGGCATTACCTCATCACACCTCAAGCTGTAACGGAGAGATTTGCGCTGACATTGTAGACCATTGACGATAGTTGTGCTTACCTTCTGAATAAACTCTGTGCTTACATTGGGAACAAACCTATGTGCTTACTAGTGAGATTACTTCGTAGTGCATGGACAACCATTGTTTTCGCCTATATAATATAACTGGATTATTTTTAGCTTGCCGTGTTTGACAAGTTACTGGATAGTAATTTCAACCCAATTGTGGATGGGCCCGCCCCAGGTCCACTTAAGTGTGGCCACATTTGGATTTAACAACAACGTTCGTTACCAACTGGCCGGATAGCCGTAGTTGCTGAGGCCATTGAAATGAGAAGAGGTAGAACGACATTATTTCTATTCAACAAATTGTTGACAAAACTTTATAAAAATATAAATTTTTGTCGTTTAAAACAAACCGTATTTGTTCAAAGATAATGACTGCCGATGATTGTGGAAGAAAAATTAAGAAACAACTTGAATCTGTTGGGGATGAAGTGGTTTTTGAAACAAATATCATGAAATGTGAAACAGGTGAGACTGAAATGGTCGGTGAATCTGAAGAATATGATATGTTTGGTATTGAAATGGTTACCCATAACCTCGAAGAAAAATATGATATATATCAGATTAAAAAAGAAGGTGTCATTGATGTTTACCATGAACCCAAATCAGTAAAATGTATAGAAGAAATAGGTGAAGGCCCTCAGAATAAGTTTCTTGATATACAGGGTGAAGATATGATTCATGATTCAAAACCCACCACAGGTACTGTAGTTTGAAGGTTTTTTGCATTCAGTAATTTTTCAATCATGTTCGAATGATGACCTATTTTTTATGTGTAAATTCATATCTTCTTTATCCTACATTCAATTTTCCAATCCCATTCAATATGATCATGTGGTTTCAATTTTATTGCTAATTTTTTGTTGCTTTGCTATTCAAACTAGAATTAACATTCCCATAATTTTATGCTTTTTGCTCAATGGACAAAATCTTCTGAATCACATCTTTTCAGCTTTCTGCGAAAAGCTTGTACCACTTGTAAACATTTTTTCGACTTATAGTATAATCACCATATGTCACTGTCAAAATTTCAAGTGTTTTTGAGAACTTAATTCCATTTTCCACACAAAATTTGATGCAGATTCTTTGATCAATTTTTTTCCATAGCAGAAAATTGCTGAATATGTAAAACACTTGTAACTTTTATGCCTCTCACCAACANGTTTAATTATATATTGGAATCTTTATGACCAGTAAATAGTTTGTGTATAAATATACATATCCTCATTTCATGGAAAGTTTAAATTTTTTAGTTTATATAAATTTATGGTCAGTTCAGATACATTACAGAACATTCAATAACTTTGTTTCATGAACTTTTTAGTGGTTATAAACTATTTGGATAGTAGAACCTCAAAAGATTACTCCTTTTTGGGGGTAAAATCGCCAGTAAATAAGTGAAATATGAAATTATTTTAAAACAAATAATTTTGTATAAATTAGTAATTTTTTCACAGATTCTGGGAACGTTTTTGCTAAAATAGAAGATGAAACAATCAACGAAAAGAAAGAGTGCCTCAATGAAAAGAAGTCGTCAGCGTTATGTCAAAAGGGGTTTGGAACTGCAAACAATCATATTGTGAAACCGTTTCAATGCAAAATCTGCTCGAAATCATTCATTTGGAAAAGTTATTTGAAAATACATGAAAAAACTCATACAGAGGAGAAATCATTCCAATGTCAAATATGTCTAAAGTCATTTGGTGGAAGAAGTAATTTGAAAGCCCACGAAAAAATCCATATTGGGGAAAAACCATTTCAGTGCAAAATCTGCCTGAAGTCATTTATTCAAAGTAGTAATTTGAAATCTCATGAAAGAACTCATACTGGAAAAAAATCATTTCAGTGTAAAATCTGCTCGAAGTCATTTTTCCAGAATTCTAATTTGAAATCTCATGAAAGAAGCCATACTGGTGAAAAGCCATTTCAATGTAAAATCTGTTCGAAGTCATTTGTTCACAGTGCTAATTTGAAAATGCACGAAAGAACTCATACTGGTGAAAAGCCATTTCAATGTAAAATCTGTTTGAAGTCATTTGTTCACAGTGCTAATTTGAAAATGCACGAAAGAACCCATACTGGTGAAAAGCCATTTCAGTGTAAGATCTGCCTGAAGTCATTTATTCAAAATGGTAATTTGAAAACACATGAAAAAACTCATACTGGGAAAAAAAACCATTCCAGTGTAAAATTTGCTTAAAGTCTTTTACATAGAGTAGTAGTTTGAAAATCCATGAAATAATTCATACTGGGAAAAAACTGTTTCAGTGTAAAATCTGCCTGAAATTTAATCAAAGTAGTCATTCGAAAACACATGAAAGAACTCATATGGGAAAAAAATAATTTCCATGTGTAATCTGCTTGCAGTCATTTTTTCAGAGTGCTCATTTTAAATCGCATGTAAGAACTTGCTCACGGAAAAAATATTCGAGTTTTCCATTGTTTATAACAGTTCAAATAATCTCTATATTGTATGCATCTACAGAGCACCTGGCATTGATTTAATAGCTTTTTTGGACAGTCTCGAAAATCTATTATCGCAATTATCTATTCATGCCAAAATTATAGTAGCTGGCGACTTTAATATAAATTATTCTGATACAAAATCAAGAGAATTTCATGATTTAAACAACTTACTCCTATCATTTAACTTTTCGATGCATGTAAAAGAACCTACTAGAGTGTCTCAATATTCAGCTAGTACAATTGACTATGTAGAAATAGAAATAGTTTTATTCATCACTAAAATATTCACACATACATAATTACAAGACTAAATACGTGAGAAAACTTATTGGACTAGTCAAAAGTAAAACGCTAAAAGCAAAACAAAAATGTTTGATCTTGAACAAACTTAAAAGAGAAGACTACATGTATAAAATAAACTAAGTCATTTATCTAAGCACTAAAAGCAAGAAATTCATCCATACTGTAGAAGCAGTTATCCAACAAGAAATCAAATAGTTCATTCCTCATTACAGTTCTACTTTTATTGATTCCTATAAAAGTTGTTATTTTACTGAAACATTTAATACCCAAGTATTTTGGGGAATTTTGACTCACACTCAAGCGAGAGTAGGGGTGGTATAAAGTATGTTCACCCCCAGTAGGGTAAGTATGTATGTACTAACTTCTTTGAACATGTCACTGCTTCAGTTATTCCTGCAGGTCTTTCTGATAATGAGGCTGTTACTTTCTCCATTTCATTGAATACCCACAAAGAAAGCTCTAAAAAAAAATATGGCAGAATATATAGCAAGGAAAATTTCAATAATTTCCAAAATAGTTGTGAGAATACACACTGGAGTATTAGTCCTAATCCGACTGAAGCTCTATCGATGTTTCATAGACAATTGATTCAGCTTTTCAATGACAGTTTCCCGATGCGAAAATTANTTGATTGATTGATATCTCTCAACTCTGAAATCTGTCCATTCAAATATTAGTTTGAGGTTAAAATTTATAATTACGAAATGAAATTTATTCACTGGATAATATATTCATTAGTTTTTCAAACAACAAGAGCTACCGTTGATCAAACGAAAACGTATACTGTTTTGTCTTTCTTTTTTAACTGTAGAAGAAAAAGATGCTATTTACCGTGCGTTCCACTGATCACTCACAACGATCAAAAGCTCCTTTAGTCGTTCCACATAACGACCGCGATCGTTGTGATCGCGGCGAAAACTTCACTCATAATGTCATTATCTTCGCTCACGGCAAGCTCACAATGACCCATCTGAAAGAAGTGGGTCAAAGTGGACGTTGATAATATTTCGGCGCAATTTTTGAAATAGAACATTCAAAGCCTAAAGAATGTGACAAGAAAAATCACCTTATTCGATTCAGACATACAAATTTCAGTGGAAGCTATTGTTCTTAAAACCAATGCTACTCATGCGGAAACAGGTGTGCAATTAGACATAACGTTTTCAAAATCTACAGTGTAATATGTGATAGAAAATCATATACCTGAAATGACTTGTGAATCCTTCATCTGAATAACGATTTATTACATTCTCATAATCAATAACACGTGGTCTTAGTTTTCGGTATTCATGATGATATTGTGAAGTTGCATTCCACTCTTCATTTGAACCTCAGAGTAATAACAAATAATTATATCATTACTCTGAGATTTGAACTAGTTTCTGCAGCACTATTACGTCACATCTACAAATATCCAATTACCGTCAAAGACATTCTGATTACATTCAAACCTAATTTGTTTGATAACTTCACTGAAATTATATAAAAAAATTGAATTATACTTCTTTTTTCATATAAATGAAGTCAGCTTGCAATTGTTGAAACTAATTGTTGATGCTTAACTAAACTCTTTGTTCTACTTTATATTTTCAACATCGCCATTTGTAATGTTTACATGAACGCCCAAAACGTTCCATAATCCATTCCACTTGAGTTTACAACAGTAACGCTCGTAAGCAAGTGGAACAGGAATTACTGGGGTCGCAAGGGTAAGTATGTGTTTTATCGATGATGCATAGAATATTTATGGTATGATCACTGACTGGGTACGGACTGGGCTAAACCGCCCAGTCCGTACCAACGTTGCCAAGTGTACCCAGTTCGTATTTCGTGGGAAATTCAAAATGTAACTAAGGAACTACGCTAATAAAAATGACTTCATAAAAATAAGAGTTTACCCCCAAACAAAAAACATACATATCGAAATGGTAATAATCAACGATATTGGTGGTCGGTCACTTATAGGTTGAACTGATTTGTAAAAAACTACATTTTCAGGGGCGTGTAATAGGTTTTTTGAATTGTTTCAGTTCTTGTGGGGAGGCCCGTTGAATTGTTTTTTTTCTGAACGCGTTTTTTTATTGATGTGAACTTAATTTGTGGATCAATGTATCTTTCGGAAGATTTATTTTTGAGTTTGAATTCATTATNATTTAGGCGATGGTAATTGCAGATGAAAACTGTTTGTCTTTGTCTTTTCTTGAAATACTATGGTCCTTTTCTTGCTCTTTATACAACAAAATATGATTTTCTTTGAGATTTTCACATTTCTTCACCCAAAGAGCCACAGAAAAGGCATCATTCGAATTTCGCTTTCCATCTTTCAATTCAAGACCATAGCTTATTTTTATATTCCTCAGATCCTCATTAGTTAACAAATCTACTCTTTTCAAATGTTCACCAATATTATCACGAGTGGATTTTAAGATTCTGTGAAGAAAATTGGTTAGGTTAATGCTCTGGAAGAAGGTGAATAATTCAAAATTGATAAGTGAATATTTAGATGCTATTTTACATCTAAATCAGAAATTGGGATAAGAATTGTTTATTTATAAGTCTCTGATGATAACATAAGTGTAAAATATGATTATATCTTTGGGGTGCAACACCATTTGTTATCTTTATGGCAATATTTTGTTTTTCAATTTTTGGCAACCTAATATGTTGTATATCAAGCTTATGACCATAATGTACTTTTTGCCACTCTACCAGAATTTTGTTGTTTTCTTTAACAATTTTGATTTCGCTTGTGCCAGAACTATTAATCTTACAAAATCCTTAGCTCTTCAACAATCTGTGTCTTCGATCAATGTCATCACTGAGGATATAACCTATTGTATAAAATTCAATTAGCCATTTTTGAGATATAAACTATTTGAATTTTTTATTCTATCTCACCCTTTATCAAATTGCACTTATATAGGGTTAATATTTATTTCGATTTTTGAAATATAAGTACCCTCTCTCAGCAGTACCATATCCATGTAGCATCTCTGTACCCAATCTCTATACCTTTACACTCATTAATCAAATTAGTACTCACTTGTTGTACTCCTGTTGCACTTGTAATACACTATTTCACCAATAGTACTAGCATTCCTACTTTTCCAAATTTCAAAATCTGAAATAAATAAAAATAAATTTCAAAATAGTATTATTTTGATTTTAGAATTAACAAACCATTCATATTTTTCATAACATGGCACTCTGTTTCAAACTTCAGCAGATGAATTCTCTGCAAATAGTCCACTAAATTCTTATGGGTTTTGAATGCAGCATCACAATCTGCTTCAAGGCAATGACTACTAAAAGTTGCAAGGCATCACTTCTGAGATGAATAAGATACAGGCTCAGGATTTTTTTGGTGCACTTCTCGTGTATGTCTGTTATGAGATGATTGGGTGGCATATACTTTCTCACAAATACTACATATAACTGGCATTTTCTGAATT